TCTACTTTTTCTCTTTTCTTTGTTCCTTTTTTGCTTTCTTAGCTTTATTATTTTTAACTTTTATATCCCGTACAGTTTTTATTCTTTTTCTGCTTTTCCCCCCCTTTTTATCTTTTTTCTTTCTTTCTTTTGTTTTCCTTATTTCTTTTGTTTTTCTGTCCCAAATCATAAATTCTTGTCCTAAATTGTAAATATATAAAAGAACAAATATGTCACTATTATTCATTTTTAGTAGTTCAAAATTGTGAATTTTTTTAATAAAATTGTGATCGGTCAGAAGTGTACACTAATAAGGATAAAGACAAATAAAAAATATTTTTGTCGGAGCTAATAAAATATAATAAGTTTTCGAGCGACCCGAGCATACGTTCGGATAACAACCGGGCGTATGCTAGGGAAACCACTCGAGCGTACGTAAGGAAACCACCCGAGCATACGCTCAGGTAGGGAAGAAGTTGGAAAATCAAGAGTTATCAAGCCTCAATGTCAAATACGATAAAAGGTATTTGATGACTCAAGTTTAATCTGTTTATTAATTCTTTTTAACACTCAAAAGAGGTGAAGAGCCTTATTGTATTAAAAAGAGAATAAACTCTCAAATTAATGAGAGGAATTAAACTCCCTAATTCCCAATATACTATAAATTTCCTTGGTTTGAGACGGAAAGATACACACTCATTTCTGAATATAATTGCCTTATGATTGTCTTCACTTTGTTCTTGTTACTTTTTCTGAGGTTCTTTGTATCCTTCGAGTGTTATTTAAATTTCCTTAGATAATTTACTTATTCAATCTGAATTTTTAGTCTAGAGATGTTGGATAAGTGTTGGACGAAATTTTACTCTCAACATATATTACAAGTATGTGTAATTAATTTGTATCATTAATGTGATCTTTCCAGCACAAGGTTTATGTATAGATCCAATCCAAAGATTCCCATCTCCAAACAGCTTTCCATTTCACACCACTCTTGTCTTCAAGCACATCCAACACAACACCTTCCTCACTCAACCTAATCATCAACCCTCTTCCTCTCCACTTAGCCAGACATGTGTACGCCTTCATTACATCAAATGGAAGCTTAAGAATGGCTTTTGCTATACTTGGATATGAAAGAATCAATTCAAAGACCTTTTTTCTTTTTGAGTGAATTCACACCCAAAATCCTCCTCTTGGACTCCTCTTTATGTTGTCTGGAAATCCGGGCAATTGTGCAAAGACTTCAAAAGTCCCAGCCTTGGGATTTCTTAGCCAATACATCATGATCCTGCAAGACGAGGTCTGTGCAATCAAAAGAAAATCTCCATTTTGGCTGGTGCCACCCCATTTGGGAATGAGAGATTTTCAAGTAAAACATCTACTTGCTTGCTTTGAGGATCATAACTCATTAATCTTCCTGTTGAGTCTCCAATTAATATAACAGAAAGGTAGTTTCTGAAACATTACAAATCATGTCTCATTAATCTTCCTGTTGAGTCTCCAATTAATATAACAGAAAGGTAGTTCCTAAAACATTACAAATCATGCAAGGATACAAGAATTTTTACTAATCAAGAGAGGCTTCTACTTTGTACAAGTAATGGCACTTAAGAAATTAATACACGACATCAAAAAAAAAATTTTATGCACATTAAAAAAATGATAAAAATGATAAAAATATAAAACTGATTGTATAATGCACATTTGCACCCTGAATTTTTCAACGTCTGACAACTTGTCTCTTAAACTTCTAATTTGTTAATTAGCCTCCTATCCCAAACTTATTAGTGTTTTCCCTTAGTTAAATTGTGGGGACGGGACTCATGTTGTTGATGATTGTGTTAATTGGTAACCAAATTCTAACACAACACCTCAATTTCGCAATTCTTAATCCCTCGGATCGACCAAAATTCAATACAAAATTAGTAAAGCCACATTATAATATTAAATTTTGACAAATTGGTGGGATGAATCGTCAAAATTAGAAGCCAACGTAAAGATGGTGATGATCACGTGACCCTTCACAGCTAGATGGTCAAATAAACGTCAACACATAGATGGTGATTATGTTATGCTGTGTAGGAATGGACTGTCAAATGCACAAACATATACATGTATATGTCATATATATGCTTAGCTATATTACATCAAATCCAAAGCCGTAATTGAATTTCAGAATGGTGAATTTTGAATATAAGCACTATTCTGGCGCTCAGGCTATTTCCCTGACGAACTCCGGGGAATTTAGAAGTTGAACTCCGGGGTTTCTTGAAGACATTCAAGGCTACCTTTATGAACTGATCACCATGATAGGTTAATAGTAATTGAAGGTTTCTATAGTTGGATTGAAAAAAATTTACGTTCTTTGCTTTGCTCTACCCGACACCAAAATTCCGCTCGCATCGCATCTGTTGAGTGTGGCACAATCGATCTGGCTAACCCACCAATAGAAATTGACGATCTCGGTTGCTTCCCAAATACACGGACTCAGTAGTTTCCAAAAATCAGAACTCAATTCCCAAACTAATTTACCAACACTCTCCCTCCAGATTCCTCATCCATCAGTACGATCAAACAGTCCTCCTATTAGTGAGAAACACAAACTTATAACGGGGGTTGGGTCTCGAGCAAACGAAGAACGAAACAAGATCGAACACAAAGTAAATAAAAAGAAGCCATGAGAAGAATAACCAAGAATAGCAGCTATTTCATTGTGAATTTGTGTGCTGGAAATGCAAACGTAGGCTGACCTTGGTTAGCTAGAATAACCAAGAACCTATTTGTAAATTTAAGGACCAAAATTGTATTAAGGATAAAAAATGCCAGGGTCACAACACAAGAAACTGAACCTAAAAGATGCAAGTTAATTTTTCATTCCATCATAGAGTAGTTAGTTTCCGAAAATAAGGTTAACTCTAAAAACCAAGTACTGAACATATACAGAAAGAGAGTGACAGAGAGAAGAGACAAATTCGAAAACCGCTGGCCTAAAAAAAGAGCAGCTCCAGTCAACGCAAAGGAGAGAAGAAGTGACAGAGAGAAGAGACAAATTCGAAAACCGCTGGCCTAAAAAAAGAGCAGCTCCAATCAACGCAGAGGAGAGAAGCTAAATTATAAGCATAAGCCTTTAATTAGACAGCTTTTTGTTAGAAGGAATATGGAAGTGTGATTGAAGGTTTTTGTTAGTCAGTTGAGTTGGTTAGGATGCTGTTCTGGAGGGTTGAGTTAGTTACTTCTGGTTTTAAGAACTGGGAATTTGTCTTGGAAAGTGTTGGAGAATATTCCAAGCAACGTAGGATTGCAGGCCCTGGAAGCTCTGCTAAAGCTGTACTATATCAATTCATCAATGAGGAGCAATAAATAATTACTCTTCTTTTCTTTCTGGCTTGTTCTTCTATACTATTCTGAAATGGAAATTGTCCAGCTCTATCAATTTGGTACCAAAGAACCCAAAAGTTTTAAAATTGAATGCTTCTTGAAAGAGAGAGCCATCACACAACAAGGAAATGAATGGGAAGAAAATGTACCATAGAGGAAACTTTAAGCAAAAAAGAACAAACACGATAGAATATTAGCTCATATATGACACAAGAATATTTAGCTCACATATACAATCAAAAGCATAATAATTACTCCTTTAAAAAAATAATAATAATAAAAAGATAATAATTCCAACTAAGTAGCACAAAGGAATGGGAGGTAATTGCATCCTTTTCATTGCCAGGCTTCCACTTAGCACAAATAGTTCTTCAACACAAATATCAATCAGACGAAAAACAGTAGTAGCTCAACTATACAACACTTGGAAACAGAGATTTGACAAAATCAAAGCAGTTTCATTTCAATTAAGCCATACCTCATCATCTTCCAACCAAAACATGTTCAACCAAAATTTAAATTTCCTTCCAAAATCTACTTTAAAGCCAGCCATGCATCAACTGGTTGAGCATTTACACACGAAAACTAAGCAAGGAAGCATAACTTAACAAGAAAACCATGAAAATTATTTAGCCCGTTCTGATGTCCAAGCTTAAGGACCAGGTGGTAGCGAAAACTTCAAACTTTAAAAAGAAACCTTTAAATTTTATGTATGCTGCTACAGTACGTATGTTAATGACTTAAAAGCCTTAGGAAAGAGCTTTTATTGACAGATTACACGAGAATAGACGGAACGGGGCTGGAAACAAGGAATAGATCGTTTGACATTAAGGGTCAGGCTTCGGGGTATAGTTGTCTTTCTTTAGGCTGCAAATGTGGGGGAAAACAGTGAAAAAGTGGCAGCAATGGGAGTGAAGACACTGAAACATTAAAAAGTAAAACAGATGAACAAGAAACAAAACAAAACAAAAGGCAATATATATATACATATATTTATGTGCGTAGGATGGTAGGTAACTATTCATGCTAACATATTTTATTTAGATCGCCAAACCAGCTGAATGAAACATCAGTCGAACTAGCAATCATAGAAGAGATTGGCACTTAGATTAAGAAAAGACTAAATAGAAAAGATAAAAGAATAAGGAAACCCTATCCATTTGAAAAAATTCTGGCGCAACAGATTCAAAATCACTACAGAAGATGGCCAGAGTAGTGCAATTACCTAGTTGAAGCACTATTGCTAAAACTTGAGAATCTGATAATACTCGAAACAAGCAAATATAAGATGATTAAAATCCCCATTGTTCTCAAAAACTTGAGATACTCGAAACAAACAAATATAAGGATTGAGAGTCCAAACTTGAAATAATCAAAACTAACAAACTGATGGCTAACAGCCCCGGCGTTTTTTGAACGTGAGGCACTCAAAGCAAGAAAGATAAGATGATTAAGGTCCAGTAAATCACATAAACGCTTATAGAAAAGATAAAATAATAAGGACACCCTATCCATTTGAAGAAATTCTGGTGTAACAGATTCAAAATCACAACAGAAGATGGCAAGAGTAGTGCAATTACCTAGTAATTTGAAGCAATATTGCAAAAACTTGAGAATCTGATAATACTCGAAACAAGCAAATATAAGCAAAAACCTCCGCTTTTGAAAGTCAAGGTGTTTCAAATTTAGCAATAAACACTGAACATAACAAAGTTAATAAGCAAAAACCTCCGCTTTTGAAAGGCAAAATGAAACCGAAAAGCCATTATAAGTTACAAAGCATACCACACCAATACCCACTAATGATCAGAAGACTTGAGCTTCTCGAGGACCAACTTGACTTGTTCGTTCATCAACTGATTCTTCTCTACAAAAAGCTCCAGTTCATCAATGTGAAGCTTTTTCCACATGGCGTCCAACTCGGCTTTCTTCGCATCCGGAAGCAAATCGAGTCCCTTCATCACAACCAAATCTAATGATTCATCTGGTAAGCTCCTCATACCAAATCTAATCATCTCACTCGAACGCACTGAAACGCTCGATTTCCCACCAATCTCACTCTTTCTAGAACCTTCTTTCGGAGCTGCAGGTGAAGCCAGGGTAGCCTTTCCGTTACTCTTTGCAGCGCCGTTCGACTTCGGCGAAGAGACGCTGGCACGGCTGCCGCCGCCGCCCCAGATCTTCGAGAGCTCGAAGACGTTCTGCTCATGCGGCTTCGTAGGGTTGTATTTCTTCCTTGCCGCGTTGTTTGAGTACTTCTTCTTTAACCTCCGGACTTTGTTGGATAACTGCGCCTTCGTGACCTCAACGTGCAGCGACTTCTTGATGAAATCATGGAAGCCATTCATGTCCGTTGCGGCCGGATAGCCGCCTCTCTTC